CATGGAAGATTTTGGATCTTCGTTCAAACCAAATCGTCCCTTCACGTGATTGTCTCTTCTATGAGCGACTCACCTTACCCGTTTTTCGTGCCCACCAAGCAACAGCTGCCAACCCCGCCAGGCTGTTCGAAGGTTCGCGTGCATTTGCATCTGACGAAGCCGAAGCTAGTGTACGGGAGGAGGCCGTTTCTGAAGCTTCCGAAGCTGCCGCAACAGACATTCCCAAACCTGTCACGTCGTGTGGCATCCCGGAATTGATTCCCCTCGTTGACGCTGACCCGGATGACGTTCGCGAAGTCCATCTCAGTTACGAACGCGATCGCCAACAGCAGCCGATACCTGCCGTCTCCGACGAAGCTATCCGTTTTACACCTGACAAAATTGGGGGTGAAGAAGGACCAGAAGAAAATTTCGCAGGTGCAAACGGAGAACGTCCGCATTTTACAGAAACTGGCTTTCAGATACTATGGATTCGCAGTCGCAGTACAGTACAATGACAGTAAGATACCTGAACCAAAAACAGTACGACAAGCTCTTACGAGTCCCCACCGAGAAAAATGGCGCGAAGCCATGGACAGAGAGCTAGCAGCTCTCAAGGGTCATGGCACATGGGAGTTAATACCGACATCAGAAGTAAAAGGAAGAAAGGCACTTACCGGAAAGTGGGTCTTTCGTGTCAAGACTAATGCAGATGGGACGTTTGAAAAAATCAAGGCGCGATGGGTCATCTACGGGTTCAAGCAGACTTACGGCATCGACTACGAGCTGACTTTTACTCCCGTCGGTCGACATACGAGCGTTCGGATTTTACTCTGTGTTGCCGCTTGCCGCAATCTACGACTTCGACAAATCGACGTGGCAAACGCATTTCTCTACGCACCCGTCGATGCACTCATTCTGGTAGAGTACCCGCACTCGTACACTACTAACCCACCGAGCGTGTGTCTTCTCAGAAAATCGCTATACGGTATTAAACAGGCACCTCGGCTCTGGCAGCAGTATCTGCATTTACAGCTTATCACTGCTGGATTTCGACAACTACCGCATGACCAAGGAATGTATCTTCAAATTGACGGCAGCAACTATATTTTACTCGTCGCCTACGTCGATGATATTCTCTACGTCAGTACTACTGATTCGCTTGCCAATACTTCATACTGAAATTACAGAAAAATCTACAGCTTACTGTCTCCGAAACAGTCTCACAGTTTCTCGGTTTAAACATTACCTGCTCACCGACGTCTATTCACCTCACCACGTCAAAGTACGCAGTGGCACTTGCTGCCTGCTTCAACTTTACTCCTACTACAGTCTCTACATCGTACCGCTCGCTACCGGCTGACTACAAATCGAATACTACACCATTGAGTCTAACCGGTTCACTGATTTATCAACATTAGTTAGGCTGTTTACTCTTCGCTGCCGTTACTTGCCATCCAGATCTAGCCTATGCGGCTAGTCAACTCACTCAGTTCCTACGCCATCCTGAAGGGAGCACCAACTCGATCTTCTCCGCGCGCTTCAGTATTTTATATCGACACCTGACGTTGGTTTAGTCTACAATGTTGTCGGTTGTAAAACATTATACCTACACGGTTTTGTCGACGCCGATCACGCTGCTGACTCTACTAATCGACGATCGCGTACTGGATTCATCTACCGCCTTGAACCTATCGGGCCTATTTCTTGGAATTCGACGAAGCAGGAGCTGATTGCTCTCTCCTCTGCTGAAGCTGAATTTATCGCTGTCTGAACAGCAACACGCGAAGGACTTTACCTGCAGGAACTCTTGGAAGCGCCAAGTTGACGATGAGTACTCAGTTTACTCTACAGTGCGACAACCAAAGTGCAATTCGCATCGCGCACCAGCCTGGCCTCGTCAACAGGACGAAACATGTTTCACTGCGTTATTTTTTCGTCAAGGATGAAGTCGAGAAGGGGAGAATGCGATTGGTCTATTGTTCGACCAACGAAATGGCTGCCGACTTCCTCACAAAGAAGCTGACATGACAGAAGTTTCAGTACTGTAACAAGCTTTGCGAGATCTTCAAGAAGTGACACTATCGAACTTCCAGAAATGAAGGGGAGTAATGTGATATAATTCATACTTAGCATTTCTGTAAGTCGTTTATCGATAGATAGTGTCGAATCCTACTATAGAAGATAAGTCCGTAGGATGACATCAGCAAATAGCGCTCGTCATGAGGACAGTCGTTTCAGTCACGCGAACAGTTGCATCTCTTCGTTATCATTTAGGGCGCATAGCGCGATATTGACGAACAGGTACATTAGCGAACAGGTACTTTCCTAGAACTATAAATCCTTGTTATGCCTTTCCATTACCGTATTCCCCCGGATATACGTGCAGGGGTGCGTTTAGGGATTATAGTCTAATTTTGGGGGGTGCGTTTATTCGAATTTTTGCAATATGGCCCCGTGCGTTTAAAATGGTTTTTTTTTAGAAAATAAAAAATGGCATCAAAATGTACTTCTAACAGCCGCCAAACCAAGGCATGTTTTTGCAGCAGCGAACCAGCCAGGCGTGTGTGGATGCTACAAAACGGACCAACCACGAGCACTGCGGCACGGACGCTGTCACAGCTCAAGTGTTGGTGATGCTGCGTTGGAGTTTTTGTGCGAATATGCTGTATGGCGGTCCAATCGCAGCCACATGCCCAGCGGGCAGCATCTAGCAAGGCGAGCTGGAAGCTCCAGAAGAATCTGGTTGTAGCTTCGTGCTGCCACGACGGTGCCCTCTCAGCTCGGAAAGGAAGAGGAATCCTCCTCGTGCACTGTCATGGGCTGCACGAAGAGGAATTCCCCGCTAAGGAATTGGGGAACACCCTGTTTGAAGCTTCATTATTTCAGTACCTTCTCGACCAAGCATCTTCATGTGTCCTCTCTTGCTAGGCCGTCGCCATGGCTGGCCTTCCACCCACTGCCATGTCTGTACTGTTCGGCAGCCCTGGTACACCAACACGCCTCTCTAGACAGGACATAGCTGCTGCCCGAGTTAGTAGATTTAGTGGTTTCCGTGCTGCACCCCCTGTTCCTCCCGCGCCGCCCGCTCCTCCTACTCCTCCCGCTCCTCCCGCTCCTCTCGCTCCCCCGGCTCCTCCTGCACCGCCAGCACCTCCGGCCCCTCTGGCGCCCTCCGTTCCTGGGAGCTTGCGACCATGGTCTTTGCAGTTGCCCTTAACGGAGGTCGACGGAGTTCCTGTCCTGACGTTACTGGTGCCCGGTGACCCGTTCCCGCCCCAGCCCGACCGATGTGACGTGGAGAGCATCTCGGACAAGGAGGAGGCTCTCGAATCCCCGCGCGCTCGCAATTGGGGGATTCCCAACGGTGACGACTGGCTGGAGCGCGACCAGTGGAAGGAAATGGATGAGGAGGAGGCGGAGTACTGGCACCGTGACGGGCTGCCCGAGAAGCTGCCCATCCCAACATTCCCCGAAGGTCGGAGCCGCCCTCATCCAACGACAACAAATTTCGACAGCCGCCCTCCCTCCCCCAGATCCCGGATGACACAGCGCAAGCGAAGGGCGTACACTTCTCAGGAGAAGCTGTATTGGCTGGAGCGATGGCGTGTGCTCGACAGGAACCGGCGAGCTGTGCAGCGCAAGTCGGGCATTTCGCGCCGTCGAATTCGAGAGTGGGAGTTCGCGGAGGACAAGCTGAAGGAAGCTGCCTTGTGCCGCAAGCGACTGCATGGCCATGGGCGCCGCAGCTGGTACCACGACATGGAGCTTTTTCGTGTATGACAAGTTCCTAAAAGTCCGCGTGAAAGGGACGCCTGTACCTGTGAAGAAGCTGCAGAAGTGGTCGAGGGAGCTGATGAAGACCATGTACCTCGATGTGAAGTGGATGGCTTCACAGTGATGGAGCACTCGCTTCAGGAAACGATGGGGCCTCTCTGTTCGGGCCCGCACGAAGGTCGGCCAGAAAATGACCGAAGGTAAGGCTGACACGTATATGCTTCCTCTGCCTTGCAACTCCGAATGTTAATTCTGGTACCGTTGAAACTTGTTTCAATGCTAATTTTGTCGGCTTTTCTTGCACGTGAATGCAGAGTGCAAGGAATAAGTGGAGTCCTTTTGGCAGTTCTGTCATGATGCAAGGAGGGGCTACTTGATTGACGACCGCTGGATCATCAACGCGGACCAGACGCCTGTCTGGTTGGAGATGCCAGCAGAGCGGACTATGGAGCAAGTCGGCATGAACTCGGTGACGATCAAGACCGCGGGCTATTACAAGGAACGCATTACAGTGTTGCTCGCTTGCATGGCCACAGGCGAGAAGCTCAAGCCGTGGGTCTTCTTCAAGCGCGCGACCGTACCCAAGGGAAATTTCCCTCCTGGTAAGCTTTATTCATACACTTCAAGTTGTTTGTGTATGCCTTTCCATGATGTTTAAGATTTTACTAACGGATTCTATTCCGACCATGCTGATGTCGTGGTAGCCGCCCAACCAAACGGATGGATGGACTCCGCTGGTGTCATAGAGTGGCTTGAGAAGGCGGTCAAGCCGTTCATTAAGCCCATCGGCCTCCGTGCCCGCTCTGCTCTCCTCATCCTGGATTTCTACCGCGGTCATCTCACCCCTGAAGTGAAGGACTTCTACGGCAACCTACACGTGGTGCCCGGCATCATCCCTGCCGGCTGCACCTCCATCATACAACCGCTCGACGTGGCCGTGAACCGTAGTTTCAAGGTGCTGTTTCGCTCGTACTACCAGGAGTGGTTCGACCGTGTCGGCTGCACCATCTTCACCCCCAAAGGTTAGCTTGTTCAATGTTGCTTTGCCTGTTATGCTCCATCTTCACACCAAAAACTAATGGTGTGTTCTTTGTCTGCTTCAGGAAATCTGAGGAAGCCGCCACCTGAGGAGACCCTGAAATGGGTCTCCATGGCGTGGAAGGCTGTCCCTGCCGCCCTTATCTAGAAGGCATTCAAAACCTGCGGCATCTCGAATGCCTTGGATGGCTCCGAAGACTACTTGTGCCTGAGGCACATGAGAGACCCCAAGGAGGCCACCGTGGATGTCAACGATGAGACCGGGGCCAACGGATTCACGGGAGACAACTCCACCACAGCTGAGGAGGAAGAGGAGGAGGAGGAGGAGGAGGAGGAGGAGGAGGAGGAGGAGGAGGAGGAGGAGGAGGAGGAGGAGGAGGAGGAGGAGGAGGAGGAGGAGGAGGAGGAGGAGGAGGAGGAGGAGGAGGAGGAGGAGGATGAGAAGGACGAGGACGAGGAGGGAGAAGAGAGTGCACGTGGACGACATGACGACTATAGAACATGGTAGACGAGGCTAAGCTTATAGAAATTGGAGGCTATGCATCTGTTTAGGTAGTCGAGGTGTAGGCTGTAGAGCATGGTAGATGATCTAACTGTAGAAGTTGACTAATATAGATGTGACTTCTTACATCTAAATACAAAGTGAAGTTGTCTTAATGAACTGTTAATTCATGAAGTCGAAGCTATTTGGGGGGGGTGCTTATAGGGATTAGAAACCTGTGATTATACAGGTGCGTATAGATGGCACCTCCAATATTGGCACCCCTCCGGATATACGCACCATGGTGCATTTTAGCCGGCGGTGCGTACCGTAATCCCCCGGATATAACACCCGCCGAAATTTAGCACCCTCTGGTGTTATATCCGAGGAGGGTGTTCTATTGAAGAATCCGCAATTATACACCCTCTTTTTGAGGGTTCTGGGAGAGCACCCCCCCTTACCATTTTAGCCATTCTAAGCCTTGCAACTCCTGGAACAAATACCAATTTTTCATGCGATTTCATGGTGAGCACAACCATTACGCAAAAGGTCAATTTTACCGAGGCGCGCGGCGGGATTCTCCTGTACTGAAAATGACGGGGTGAAACAAATCATTACCTAGAAAAGCGCAGTGACTAACAAATTTTGTTTCATTTGTGCGAGAGACTTGTTCTGACTGGTTGACGAGCCTCGCAATTTTCGCCTAGCCTATTGCGAGAGTCGCCAACCCCTCAATCTCACTTCTCCAACCTGACACACTCCTGATATTCAGGAGCAAGTGGGCGATCTGGGGGTATTATGAAGCTCGAGAAAACGTACGCCTTTTCAGCTGGAACTTGGATGGGTGAAATCGCCATGAAACGCTGAGTCTAATGCACATCTAAAAAATTCTGTCCTCAAATATAACACCAGGGTGCTATAGCCTAAACGCGAAATAGAGCACCCACCCCCCTGATTTTGCATGAATTTTGTATTATACCCGGGGTGTTATATCCGGGGGATTACGGTATATCCGGGGGAATACGGTATTAACTTTGATTATCCACAAGCAGGCCCCCAAATTGGTTTTGGGCTTGTTTGATTCATCAGACTTGCCTGCCATCTTTTGGTATGGCCTTCAGAGTCGCCCGTTAAAAAAAGTCTGAAAAATCAGAGTAACAATAATTTATTTGTCTGATTAATCAGAGTTACCATTGTTTTTAACTCTCATTTCAAAGTTACTGTTTTGGCGGCGGCACGGAATTTCGCGGCGCCCTAGGCCCGGCCCCGCGCCGGTGCGGGTGTGGTTGATCAGCGAGGCTCATGGCGAGGCTGTGCTATACTGTACAACGCTCTTGCCAGGCCCAACAGAAGTTTTTTTTACTTTTCTAATCTCCCAGACAGACTGACATACGAATTTTAAAAAATTAGATGAGTCTTTCACGAGTTTCTATCCCTCCCCCTCCCCGTTCCTTGTCTAGTAATTTTGCGTGCCTGAGGCACGCGACTATGTCGGTTGGTGGAGATACGGATCGTGGCGAATTGCGAATGGGGAACAAAATCGAGGGATGGGGCGGAAAGGAATTGGGGGGCGGGCAAAACAAAATTGCAGGGGAGGTAGGGAAATTGGGGCCATCCAGGTGGCTATTTCGTGAAGGGCCAATGGGCGCCCTCGTACACACAGCCCGCGGCACACCTCTGCAAATTTTTCGAAGGGCCAATCGGCCCCTCACACCGCACGCATCACAAACTGGGAGGTGATTTTGGTGAAGGACCAGTCAGCTCCCTCACACAGCCCCCAGTACGCATTGGCCGTTGATTTGGGTGAAGGGCCAATAACTGCCCTCACAAAGCCCCCAACACGCATCTCGCCCTGCTTTTGGCTAAGGGCCAATCAGCGCCCCCCCACAGGTAAATCATGCTCCCCCCCTAAACCTGGCATTACACAAATCAGAGTTGACCCCCCATACAGAGTTGAGGCCAGGGCCTCAGATTGGTTTTAAGTCATCCTGATTGCAAAGGACTACCCATGGTTTTTTCCCTGAATTTTCAGAGGTCCCCAAATTTTTTTGCTTAGGGGTCAGGATTGTGTGGGACAAAAATGCTGAATGGACAGAGATAGATGGTTTTTTTTCCCTGATTGACAAAATGAAGAGGAAATTGAGAAGCAAGGAACTTTACTCGAAATTATCAAGATCGTCCACATTGTCACTACTACCTACACCCCACTCTGCCTCTTCTGCTACTACCTTCCCCTTCTTCGAGCCGTCTTGCTTGGCCTGAGGGGTGTTGTTGAAGGGCTTACGCTTCTTGTAAGCGCGCCATATCTCCACCACAGCATCATAGTCCGGGTCATAGTCTAACAGTGACATGCACATGAGGTCACTAAGCCTAGTATCTTTAAGGCTGCCATGCAGCCAGCTCTTAATCACATTCTGCCTAGAGAATCCGCGCTCGCACTCCACAGTGCTGAGAGGAAGCACTGCCACCGCCATCCACAGCTTCATCAGGTTCGGGTAAGAATCCTGCCAGTCAGGTGTCTTCAGCATGGCCGTGAGCCCAGCGTGAAAGCTTCGGTCGGCCTGGGGAAGAGCAGCAATGACAGGGCAGAAATGAGGCAGCTCTCTCATGGCTGCACGCTTGCCAATGCCAGGAAGAATCTCCTCTGCCTCATCTGCACGATAAAGAGTAACAAGGGAGAAGAACCAGTCAAGGCACTGGGCCTTGCATGCAGCTCTCTCCCAGTTAGGGGGCCAGAGGTTGACAGAGAAGAGGCGGCAGCCAGAGAGCTTCCCCAGATCACCCAGCCGCTCCTTCAAGTTCGACACCATGCCTGTCGCCATGGCCACACAGAGCCTCTGGCACGCGTCGTGATTGCCCTCCCCCGGATAATCGGGCAGGCGATCTTCATGCAGCACGAAGGTAAAGGAAGCCGGACGACCATCAGAGTCAACCCCCTCAGCTGTGACCTCGCGAGAACCGCCCGGGCCGTGACGGGTGAGGAAGATGGTGAGACGGTCCTTCGGTCCCCCGCCGAAGTCTTCGGCGTCCCCGTAGCGGCTCTGCAGCAGGGTTGTTGTGCGGATGATCTGCGCGTGGACGGCCGAGTACTCCAGCTGAGGTTGGGGCGGGGAAGAGGGGGAGGGGAGGAAGGGAGGGGAACGTGTATATATACAGAACCAGGGTGGTTTAATAACGACTCATTGTCACAGTAAAGAAAAACTCACCTGACGCTCCTGGAAGGACTTGTTGAGGATGTTTAGCTGCTCCAGTATGTCAGCAAGGAACATGACAAGGAACCAGAAGCGGTAGCTTGTCACTATCCTGGAGAGCCGGGTATCAGTCCACTCCGAGAGCATGACGACGATGGCGGGTAGAACCTTGACTAACCTAATGACAGCCTCACTGCGGGAGAGCCAGCGGATGCTATGAATGCCTTGAAGTTCAAGGTTCGTCGAGGTGAAGATTTCCTGCAGGTCCAAGAAGCGCTGGTGCCATGGGCCGGATCGTCCGAAGTACTCAGCGAGCTCCTTAATGACATCGTCAATCATCTTGAACGCTGGCAAGGATTCCGCCGCTGCTTTAGCTGCCAGTGCCTCTCTGGAGGGTGGGACAAAACGAGAAAAAAATGGTACATGTTGGGCCTTGGGAGTGGGGTAATACACATTGCACATGCGGAAACCACCAGTGCACTTAACCCGAGGTACAGTAGCGGTAAACAACAACGCTCACTTGTGCGCAATACAGTGACACGACACCAAGTGCGGAATTTGCATCCGCAGCCGCGTCACAAGCCCAGCCTTCGACCCCATCATAACAGCAGCGCCATCGGTGCTTATGCCCACGACCCGCCGGAGGTCGACACCGATGGCGTTGATGTGAGACAGGAGTAGAGCGAGCAGAGAGGCAGCGTCGGCCTTGTCGACGCTCAGCAGGGCCAGGTATTCGCAGAGGACTTGGTTCTCGCGGATGAAGTGCGCAAATACGATGAGGTGCTTGCCGCGGCAGCGGTCTGTGCTCTCATCGATGCTCAAGCCGATGAACGGGCTCCTCAGAAGGTGGTCCAACTGTGTTGTCTGCAGCCAGGTTGCCATGGACTGTGTGAACTCCCCGTACCCATAACTGCAGTAGCCAAGGGCATACACATAAATAGTATGCTGAAATATGAACATTCGTCATGCATGATAGATGCATGCAAAACAAAATCAAACAACACACAAGAATGCCTGTTGTAGTACGTGCCATAGGTCTGCTCGGGGAAGTGCTCGTGTCGACGTTGGCTGAGGTAGCGCACGAGCCTGATCCAGTTTTCTATCGGCTCGTTGCCTTTGCAGCAGAATTAGAGCGTGTCAAGCAGCGCAGTCACACGTTCCTTCTCCAGGTCTGCGGCTTGAGGAAGCTGGTCGATCCGCATCTGGTTGGTTGCGTCCTGCAGCAGCGCCTACTGCTTTGTCACGGCTAGGCGATGCTTGGCCGACCCCGCGTGCCTGTTGAATGCCTGCGACTGCACGTCCATCAGCCCTGCGCCGCGTTTGCCGGCTTTCCCTCTGAGTCCTGCATGCTCAAGGCACAGACTGCATTTAAACGCAGGGAATCCAGCGTCAGTCTTAACGATCATAAGCCAGGGAGACCGCTCGGACCACCGCGTATTAAACCTGCTGAGGGCTTCGCCGTAGACATCCTCAGGCGATCGAAACTTGTCGGGTGCAGCGGTCGTGTCGTCGCCATCGCTGTCGTCATCTTCGCACATGGCTGAGGGGCGGGGCGTCGTCGGCTGACCGCGTGGGAAATTCCACAGGGTGGATTGCCGGTATCGACCGGCAGGTTTCACGGGGGTGGCGGAACCTGGACTACAGGTAAAAGCATTAGCCAGGGATGGGCCTAGAATAGGCGCGGAATTCGGCTCGACAACACCTTGAGAAGTAGAGGCGACCGACTGCGAGGCGCATAGGGGGTTTTGTTCCGTCGGAGGGTTACGAGGAGTCTTCGGAAAACTACCTAGCGTCGAAAGGAGCATGTCAAGCCCAGTGGGGGCTTCGGCATGGTGACTGCCGCTGTCGTCGCCATCGTCGTCCAATTCCACGTCGCCTGACTCAGGCATGTGGACTGGGCTCACTAGGGTGGTCGACGAGCAGAGACACACGACGGAGTGGTTGTAAAACAATGACACTGCGGGGGGAAGGTCACGCTGGGAGTGGCTAACGCAGTGGCTGTTCCTACCGTGGGTAGAAACAGATGAACAAGACGCAAGGGGGAAAGGGAACGATGGCGAGGCGCGAACACTTAGCCAGCCATGCACAGTTGGCTTCCTGTATTCCTGAATCTGGACCGAAACTAGCGCGGCGCATGCGCGTCGGCGTCGAACCGGAGTGTGGTGTTGAAGCTGGGTCATCATCGCTGGCGTACACGTGATTGGCTATTCAGGCAGCATTTACAAAGGCAACCAATCCACGCATGCAGGCCAGATGGGTGCTGGCCAGGGCCCTAGATTGGTTTTGAGGCTTCCTGATCCATCAGGATTCTCCCTGCAGAAAAGTCTGAATTTTCAGGGTCCCCTAAAAAAAAATCCTGAGCCATCAGAATTACTAAAAAAAAAAAACCGATTTTTCAATCTTTCTATACATGTTTTAGTTCATGAATTTTGTGTGTTCAAGTCTTGGTTTTTGGGGGTGCTGGGCATTCGTAGCGAATTCACGCGTGTGGGGTGAGATTGGGGAATGGGAAGGAAACGACAATTGGTGGGGGGGAGAGGGGGGAAGGGTTGAATAGTGGGGGAGGCGACGAGATTGCAGGGGCGGAGGGAATCTCTTCCCTCGCAGAGCCCAAGGGCAGGCGCACATCAAGCAAATTCGGCCAAGGGCCAGCAATTGCCCTCACACAGTCCTCAGCACACCTCCCTCACATGACCTCCAACATACAGCGCGGAGATTTTTTTGACCAAGGGCCAATCAGCGCCCTCATACAGCCTTGGGGGGTGGGGGAAGGGGGGGGGGAGAACCTCGAAATTCTTGACTGCCCCCCCTAGACACGCTTTTGGAAAGGACTAAGACCCGCTACAATGCTGAGAAATTCAGGGTTCGCTAAGAAACCTTGCTGAGCAATCAGAGTTTACCCTTACAAAAAGCCTGAAAAAACAGGGTGTGTCATTTACAAAACCCTGCACAATCAGGGTAAGTACCGAGAAACTCCCTGTTTTTTTCCTGAATCAGGAAAAATTTCCTGACTTCTGGGGGCCTGGTGCTGGCCGACACTTTGAGAAGGACCAATGCCGTGAGGCAGCGCGGCAACATGTGACTCAGCAAACGATGTCTGCAGGCGGGAACCTGGCAGTCAGGCCAGTTTTGTGGGGGAATATGCGCATATCGCTGTAATTCTGGGTGGGACTCGCAAATCACGCCTTTGACAAAATCAGAACCCATGCTCGATACAAGTCTGAAAATTCAGGATCCATTACAAAAAAAACTGACCTGACAAATATTCCTTACAAAAAAACCCTGAAATTTCAGGATATGCCAAAAACAAAACCCTAGCAAATCAGATCTGTTACCCCTCAACACCCTGTTTTTTTCCTGAATCAGGAAAATTTTCCTGACTTCTGGGGGCCTGGTTGAGGAATCAGAGTACACTAGTAAAAAAAGTCTGAAAATCAGCGTAGGTACATAAATCTTCTCTGAAAAATCAGAGTAAGGTACAAAAAAAGTCTTCCCAATCAGAGTAGACCCCCAAAAAAACTCTGAAAAAACTCTGAATCAGAGTAAAAAGTCTGCATTTTGGGGGCCTGTCCACAAGTCCATGTGCTCAGGTTATTCAACCTTGACTATCATTCTTTTACAAGACTTCCGCTGTCTTACTAGTCTACCATTCCAGTAATGATCCTAGGCTAACACTTGAGGTTTTCCAAGTGTTCGTGTTTGCAGATTCTATACTTAGGTCTCCTGCAACACCTGTCAAATTATTACACTATTAGGCATGTATTATATAGAATATGCATGTATGCCCTTCGTACAACAAGTTCATGTGCACATCCTGCATGCGGTGTGGAGAGACACCAGACGTAGCCACCCACCCACCCACATCCTGCATGCGATGTGGAGACCACCCAGCCGCCCACCCACATCCTGCATGTGGTGTGGAGACATCAGCTGCGGCAGCCTCTCCCACCCACACCATTAGAGAATACACATAAACTTATCAACGTTCAAATTAGAACACTTCACAAGTCAGACTAAAACAAGCCATAGTAAACTTAAGATGAAAGGTGAACCCTCAGCTCGTAGAGCCACAACCTCACTGCAGTGCCCTCTGCGCCCTGTAGAGCTCCTCCTTTGTGCAATCAAACACCATGGAATCCATGTTGCTGCATGCATTCGCAGCAGCCGGCACATACATCATCTCCAGGTCCCCGCTACCTTGAATCATGACCTCACACTTGCTGATGTCATCCGGGGTAAGGTACAGCTCATCTGGGGCCAAGTACAGCTCATCGAGGCACCCACTCGGAACCGAAACCAAACCCCCAACCTGCTCCTCAGCCCGATGCCCAGCATCACCCATCTCACTGCATTGCCACGAATCGGTGAAGCAGCGCCTACCCGTGCTGCCCATGCCCATGCCGTTGCTCTCAACCCCGTTCAACTGACCTGGGTAGGCACAGCTGCTGGCCCCCTTAAAGCAGGAATGCATGCTCAGGCTAGCGCTGGTGAGAGCACAGCTGGTCTTCATGTCCGGGCCTGGTGTTGTACTCAGTCCGTGTAGAGGTGTGCACCACGCAGACAGCCCCATTGACTGCTGAGGCGCCTCAGCAACCACCCCATGCAGAGTTGTATGACCGGCAGGCAGCCCCACTGCGCAGGTGCTGCTGCTGCTGCTGCTGCTGCTGCTGCTGCTGCTGCTGCTGCTGATGCTGCTGCTGAAGCTATGGCTGCTGCCCGCACAGTCCGCCATATAAACAGCTCGCCGCAGCTGCTGCTGCTCCTGACGCTGCGACCCCATCTGCTGCTGCTGCTGCTGCTGCTGCTGGAAATGCTGCTGGTGGGAAGCATGCAGGTGCCTGTATTTCAACCCCTCATCTTCTCTCAGCTCATCACGGGCTGTACTCTGTTGGACAGTCCAGGCATCACGCGACAGACACGAAACCCTGTCCCATACAGGCATGGCAACAGGATTAGCTGGCCCTAGCAAAGGGCAGAATGCACTAGCACAAGGGTTACACTCATCAGCAGTTACACCAGGCGTGGTGGTAACACGAGCGTTGGTGGTTACAAGGGAAGCAGCTTTGGGAGGTGATGACTCAGGCAGGAGCACTGCTGAACTGCAACTGTTGGGGTTGACTGGCTGACAGGCCCAGGGGTTCTGGACCCGTGCACTTCCCTCCATGACAGGATGAGCAGCGGGGGCGGTTCCAGTGGCATAGCCGTGTGTGGTAATGGTAGTATCTGCATTGCACAACCCTGCAGTTGAGTTATGAGTCGAGCCAAAAGTCGTTTCATAGCCACGTGCGGTACTAGCAGCACCTGCAGTAGGCAGCACTGGGGTTGCAGCCAGCGGTAGTGCCTCCGAAGTGAGCGGGTATGCATTAGGTCGAGCGGCATGAGGTGCATGCATGGTTACCCTGGTAGTAGTTACGCAGCTCGTGATCATGCCACTGGTGGTTACGCCACTGGTGGTTACGTCAGTGGCGGTTACGCCAGTGTTGGTTACAACAGTGGTGGTTGTGTCAGTGGTAGTCACGCCACTGGTGGTTACTTGGGTGGTGGGTGCATTCACTAGGGGAGGGAGGTGCTCCGCGCAGAGGAGAAATGAAGGCACTTGACGTGGCTGCTGCTGCTGCTCCTGATTTTGCTGATGTTGCTGATGCCGCTGCTGCTGCTGCTTCTGTTGCTGTTGTTGCTGCTGTTGCTGCTGATGCTGCTGATGTTGCTGATGTTGCTGATGCTGCTGCTGCTGCTGCTGCTGCTTCTGCTTCTGCTGTTTCTGCTCCTGCTGATGCTGCTGCTGCTGCTGCTGCTGCTGCTGATGCTGCTGCTGATGTTGCTGATGTTGCTGATGCTGCTGCTGCTGCTGCTGCTGCTGCTGCTGCTGCTGCTGCTGCTGCTGCTGCTGCTGCTGCTGCTGCTGCTGCTGCTGCTGCTGCTGCTGCTGCTGCTGCTGCTGCTGCTGCTGCTGCTGCTGCTGCTGCTGCTGCTGCTGCTGCTGCTGCTGGTGTTGCTGCTGCTGTTGTTGATGTTGCTGATGTTGATGCTGCTGCTGCTGTTGCTGCTGATGTTGCTGCTGTTGCTGCTGATGCTGATGCTGCTGATGTTGCTGCTGCTGCTTCTGGTGCTGATACCCGTGCTCCTGCAGAGACAGGCAATTAAAGCTCGGAGTGTGCTGGTCGCCATCCGTAATGGCTGTAGAAGCACGAACCATAGCACGTGCTCGCGCTGTCTGAGTGTACACCAAGGTTCCAGCTTGAATTGTACCTTGATTCAGCGAAGATTGGGGACCATTTGACGCAACACAAGCCAGGCGGGGGAATGCAGGGTCGAGCATCGGAGGGAAGGGAGATGGAGGAGGAGGCGAAGTACTTGTAGGGGGGAGACACGGCACCGAAATTGGATCATACAGCAGATCTGATGAAGAGGCACATCCGTTGCTGGGAGCTGAGGGTGGGCTGCTGTCTCCAAACGGCATGTGATGTGCCGCAGGAGGACGGCTCATAGCAGGAGTGAAAGTCGTAGCTGGAGCGGAAACTGTAGCAGGAGCAGGAGCGCTGGTTGTAGCAGGGGCGCAGGTTATGGCAGGAACGCAGATTGCAGCAGCAGCAGGGCCACGGGTTGTAGCAGGAAGGGAAAGGGTAGCAGGGGAGCATGATGAAGCAGGAGCAGAGGTTGTAGCAGGAGTGTAGGGTGTAGCAGGAGCGGAGGTTGTAGCAGCGGTGACGGATGACATAGGAGTGAAGGATGTTGCTCGAGTGAAAGATGCAGCAGCAGTGAACGATGTAACAAGAGTGAAGGATGTAACAGGTGCGCAGACTGTAGCAGGAACAGAGTTTGAAGCAGGAATGCAGGTTGTAGCAGGAGTACAGGCTGTAGAAGGAGCGCAGGCTGTAGCAGGAGCGCAGGCAGTAGCAGGAGGCCTTTCTGGCACAGGCGTCCATGATGAAACAGAATGACCTGGTGTAACCGGAGAGAAGGTTGAAGCAGAGGCGCAGGTCACAGCAGCAGGGCAGCTCGAAGAGGAGCAAATCAAGTTCGTTCTAGAAGCATCGGGAGCTGGCGGCGGGTGGTTATGTGAGCCGTGGTAGGTCGTCCTCACCACCACTCGCATCTCAGTACGCGGCCTCTCCTCCACAGTGTTAACCACATCGCCCTCTTTCAATCCTCCCAAAGCAGCCGCAGCAGCAGCCGCAGCAGCAGCCGCAGTGGTAGAGGCACCGGCAGCCGCAGCGGTAGAAGCAGCAGCAGATGCAGCGGCGCCTGCAGCACCCGCAGTAGGATTGGATGCTCTTGTTGTAAAGGGAGCGGCCCTGAAGGCAGCCTTGGAGGTGGTGGCCGCGCCTTGATGCTGCTTCGACAAGTTGACGCAGCTGCTTGAGCGGCGGTGCCTGGCCTCTCCAGCGACGCGGTCTTCGATCTTCTTTGCCATGCAGCCCGTTGCTTGCTTCGATGCGCACACAAAGTACAGCCTGCGGCAGACACCAAGGGGAAACAGGACAGCAGGATCATGTCACAGAAGTTTGTTATTTGCTTGGATGTGCACACAAAGTACAGTCACCGACAGGGATGAAGGAAAAACCAGCAGCCTGCTGGCAGTACCTTTTCATTTGCTGGCCCGCAATGCGCTTGTGTGACGCCTTCTTCCATTTGAACCTTTGATGATGCGCCGCGTCTTGCATTTGATGCGGCACCACGTGTTGCACTTGATGCTGGACGACCGCGGCGCCTGGCAGTTTGGGCGCTCACACGCGCTGGGACCGCCCGTGGATCATGATGCAGGGGATCGTCGTACTACTACTAGTAGTAGCGAGACACACCCCCCGGCTCTCAGAGCCGTAGTATGACCTATCCAGATTCGTGATTAAAACGATCTCGCGGCTGGCTGCTTATCCATCCCTATCACTGCAGGTATTGCGGATGATGTATTGCGTATCCATTCTAGGCAAGGTTTGCCTACTATTACCGGCGCTTTCTAAAGAATCGGCCCAGAAATTTGTTGAAGTGGCCTAAGTTTTTATGTTCGAAACTCGTTTCTGGACAGCGAAAACTAGGCGATGCTCAGTTTCAAATTTGACCCCTGACTCAGAGACTCATTTGGTTGGGCCTCGGCACCAGTGAGGGCACAAGTTTCGACCTCAGTTAGGGGCGAGTCACAAATTGCATTTTCGAGTAATACCGTACTCGACCGTTTTCGGCAGAAATTGAACCTTTAGAAATCGTGAAGTAACGTACTCAACCGCACAAAACGGACTGAGTAATGTTCTCTTGTTGCATGCCCATAATATGAAGGCGGGTTGGGTGATAGGGTTCAACCAAAATGCTCGTTCCAGTGTAGAGAGGGGAGGGGTACCTCGTATAAGGGCGTGTGCGTTTTGTAAAAATGGTCAAAGTACATACCGTCTGTACGTAAAGCAAGTACGGACAGGCGACAAATCAGCAAACGAACTTTCAATGTCCCACCTGCAAAATGGGCGTTCGTTCCCCGTTGAGTGCCATTTAACGGAGAATGACGACACATCTCGTCATTTTCGCGATTCGTGTAACCACACAAAGGTGTGGACACCTTCGTCCTTGCGTTCCAAAACCCACACGCCCTAATTGATACAACCATCGTTGGAGGTGGTTTTACGCATTGCATTGCTGCAAGAGGGGATGGGATGGGATGGGATGAGAGGGAAGGGAATGGAAGGGAGGGATGGGATGGGATGCCATGCCATGCCATGCCATGCCACGCCATGCCACAAGGCTGGTCCCTCCGCCTGGACCATCAGTATGACAATCTGGAACGGGACAAGTTCAGCACAACTTTCACGCCAGCATCGCTGCCAGATCTGGCATCTCAGCACAGCACGCCTGGGGTGCCCTTCTTGCCCGAGTCAGTCACCTCACGGTTCACTCACTTGGACCTACCGCATCCCTTGTGTTTTTAGCTTGGGCAACCACATCCCCGTTTCTAGAACATGGCCCGCACTGTTCCCAGAGAAGGCAACGACAACAGTGGAACTTGCCTTCCAAGACAGAAACTTAGCGCATGTAAAGAACCCAAGGGACATGCAAGTCATATTCTTGTCGTGCAAAGTCCAAGAATGTTGGAATGAGACACTTAGCTCATAGGGCGGTACGTCCCTGGCAAATTTGCTTTAAATGCACTGAACCACGTGAGAGTACCAATCTGAGTTGAGTGCACACCTTTAACCTCGTTCTGGCTGAATATTTCGGGCAGGCAGGCTGCGTTTTATCTCTAGCGAAATTTGACAATATATGACTGCCGTGTAGCCGACAACGGAATTTGACATCCCGGGTAGCCACAAAACCTGCTGGTATTTTTCTACACCCCAAAACAGGTTTTGTGGCTATCCGGGAGCCGAACGGTCAAATTCCGTAGGGAGGGTCAACACGTAAACAAAATGGAATCGCAAACTCCAATGGATCCAACGAAACAGCAATGGACGTGTGGGGTGCGAGAAAAGGGGCTTGAGGAGAGGGGCTGGTTCTACCTGTTTTCGTCACTTGATGCGTGGAATAACAGTTATATTCGGTACAGAGAACTCCAAAAATGCGCGGAAGCAATTATTTTGTCATTGACGGTACATGACTTTTAATACTACATGATTTTACCAGAACGAGGTTTCGGGTGCAGCATTTGGGCAGATATAAGCATGCCGCAGAAGCAGCCCAGTGGAACAAGTTGCTGCTTTCGCCACCTTCTGCGACAAATCTGTCAACTGGCTACTGTACATCTCTGGTGTACCCTTGTTGCCCGAGCTAGCTACTCCATGTTTTTGGGCAGCTGGGACTAAAAGCGTTTTCTTCACCTCGCGCACCTCGCCACTGGAAGAATGGGATTGCAAGGGTGTTTGAATGTTACTGCTTTGGCATACGCGGATGGCGACGGGGGACTAAATTTGTACGTTCCGAAATGCCCGGTAACCTCCTGAATATTTTGCTGCGTACGTCACATGCGATTGGTGCAACGATGACAAGCGCAAAATTTTCGCAGGTGTAATTTTTCCGTAGGTGCAAAAGCGACGTGCAACACCCACGTGCAACTATTCCGCAGGTGCAATTACTCCATGTGGGGATTGCGTACGTGTCTGGCTGGGTGCCCCAAAACACATCGAGAGAGCCCTGGTTCTACCCAACATGCCGAAACTGAAATTTGCCATCCAATAGGGTAGTCTGGTAACCTACTTGGCATTTTCTAGACTAAAACAGTGGACAACCGATTATTCTTTAGCGTTCTTCGGGCAGCAGTGTAAGGTCTAAGAATGTCCCGTCCGCACGTTCGGGAGTCTCCGTATTAGATGTGATCACTGACACATATCCTTGGGCCTCTGTGGGCTGGGCCGTTGCCCCGTCAGCTCCAACCAGAAGCTTGTAGACGGACACGTGGAACCTAATGAGTGAGCAATTCACTGGACCACTGGCGTAAAAACGGGAAATGATAAAAAAGAGTCGAGTATTTATCTCCCGGGTAACAAACATCCGAGGTGATGACGTCAGCAGTCACCTACGTGGCTTCACGGTAACCATCAGATCGACTTTGTCCCAGCGTGGTACCAATTATCCCTACATGGTACCAATTTGTACTCGGCAGATTCCCTACCTGGTAACCGTCAGTTTCAACGTTTCCGAACTGCCCCCACGTGTATCGTACACGCCCTTGCGAAAGTCGCGAAGAAGAACATCTGGTACAGAGTATTTCGCAGGTGCGCTTAGGCTGAAATGTTACGCCACACATATCATAATTAATCTCATTTTACAGTCTCATTATCTATACCATGGATATTTTTTGTGTTTTAGTAGTTTTGTTACATTTTTTATTCCATGGAAAAATTATTATCTTAAATAAATGGATTAGATGCTATGAATGTGTAGTTTCCATGCGTACTATAAATATAATGTGTCAAGCAATGTCTAGTAGTTTCTAGTGTTCATAGGTTCTCTTTGATGATGAGTGTAAGAATTTCATGAATAATTAATGGGTTTCGCCAGAGCGAGTATCGTGAACTGTGCGCGTCCGCAGCCTCAGCCCTCAATGTCGAGGGTTTGACGCGAGACTTGCGTCAAACCCTCGACATTGAGGCAAGGTACGGCTCGGAAGAGGCAAGGTACGGCTCGGTACGGCTCGCCACTGCTACCATACCTCTTTACCGTACCTCTTTTACCACGCCACTGCTACCATACCTCTTTACCGTACCTCTTTTACCATGCCACTGCTACCCTACGTCCTTACCGTACCTCTTTTACTACGCCACTGCTACCATACCTCCTTACCGTACCTCTTTTACCACGCCACTGCTACCATACCTCCTTACCGTACCTTGCCTCGTTAACAAGTCTCGCGTCAAACCCTCGACATTGAGGGCTGAGGCTGGAGACGTGCACTGTTCACGATACTCGCTGTGGCGAAACCCATTAATGATTTATGAAATTCTTACACTCATCATGAAAGAGAACCTATGAACACTAGAAACTACTAGACATTGCTTGACACATTATATTTATAGTACGCATGGAAACTACACATTCATAGCATATAATCCATTTATTTAAGATAATAATTTTTCCATGGAATAAAAATGTAACAAAACTACTAAAACTGTAAAAATCCATGGTATATATAATGAGACTGTTATATGAGATGAATTATGATATATGTGGCGTAACATTTCAGCCTAAGCGCAGCTGCGAAATACTCTGTACCAGATGTTCTTCTTCGCGACTTTCGCAAGGGCGTGTACGATACACGTAGGGGCAGTTCGGTAACGTTGAAACTAACGGTTACTAGTTAGGGAATCTGCCGAATACAAATTGGTACCATGTAGGGATAATTGGTACCACGCTGGGACGAAGTCGATATGATGGTTACCGTGAAGCCACGTAGGTGACTGATGACGTCATCACCTCGGATGTTGGTTACCCGGGAGATAAATACCCAAAAGGGTCCTCCCTTCGCTACAGGCGTGAGCAAAAAAGGTCCGGCAGCTTTTTGCCCCGAGACCTCGTCTACGAGCCTGTCCTACACCTTATTTGTCATACAATACGCACACATCACAGGGTCACAAATTTGCAGGTTCATGGGGGCGCTTCGTGTCGCCTATGGTGGGACCTTCATACGAATTCAATGTACTATATAAGGGGACAAAAAAAAAAAACTAAAACCCATAGGGGCACCGCATGCTACTCGGGTTGGCATCAACCCTAAACTCGCAAAAGGGCCGCGTGTTTAGGGTTGATGCCATCCGGAACGGAATTCCGTCCCCAATGGATTTTAGTTTTTTTTTTTTCGTTGAGAAATATTGAATGGTACCGCAAACATCCCATAAATGTTTAAAGTACTAAACAAAGAAAGAAGTGTGTTTCAGGTTCAGAGGCGAGGTCCCTGGAGTACAAAATTGCCGGATCTTTTTTGCTAACGCCTTTGGCAAAGCGAGGACCCTTTTTAATCATTTCCCCGCAAAAACGAACCTTATGGGAAAAAAAAAAAGCTGTTTTAGGTTGTTCGGTTACTGTTACTAGCGATCCGCCCACAGTAGTCACATTTTGTGCACAGAGAGGAGGGCTTTGTCGCTTTCTGTGCAGCGAGGGGAGGTTTAGCGTTCAGTTAGGTTAAAGCGATAATCTCAAGAAGCATGAAACCAAATCCAAAAGGTTTCGAATCGGCTTGGCGAAATGAGCGAAGCAGCAACACCGGCCCCCCAAAATCCCTCACTACACCTCGCAACATTCGCCACCCCCCGAAACCAAAACCTTTGGGTTTGGTTTTCTGCTTGTTGAAATCCTCTGTTTAAAAATTCTCATTGGATCGCGTTTCACAATTTCATGGTTGCACGCTGTACCTCAGCATTTCGCTGTTCTCAGCAACTGTTCCCGAAAATCTCCGTCAACTACAGAGCACATCCCTAAACGAACCTGGAAACAGAATGAGCCTCGGGTACTGTCAATTTCTGACGGCAAAATTAACAGCGAACTGATTTTTCAGACGGATAAAAGATGACAACAATACTCAATATGGGATTGTGGATTAGTGCGATGTAATTGTTCACTTACATTTCATTTCGATATTTTGAAATTACATTTTTCGGTACAGTTATATATTGAGCTCATAATATTTTTGCCATGGAATTCCATGATCTTCATACACAATGATGATCTTTCAAGAAAAGTTTCAATATCTGGCCTAAAATTTTCAAAATAACTTCACAT